GGACCAGAGCATCGGCTGGCATACACTGTCATAGCTCTGTTGATGTCAAAGACAGCTGAGGATCCACCCCAGAGTTTCTACTACTAGCCTGCTGTGCAACCTTGTACAAATCACTTTACCTTTATTTCCCCTCCCATCTTGTCTCTTATCTCTTTAGGCCACGTCTACACTACGAAAGTACTCCAATTTTACAGAAGTCGATTTTTGGGAACAGATTGTATAAAGTCGAGTGCATGCGTCCATACTAATTTGCACATTAATTCAGCGGTGTGCGTCCACGGTACCATGGCAAGCGTCGACATTCCGAGTGGTGCACTGTGGGTAGCTATCCCACAGTTCCCGCAGTCCCCGCTGCCCATTGGAATTCTTGGCTGAGCTCCCAATGCCTGATGGGGCCAAAAATTTGTCGCGGGTGGTTATGGGTAAATGTCATCAGTCAACCCTCCCTCCCTCCATGAAAGCAACAACAGACAATCATTTTGCGCCCTTTTCCCTGGATTTGTCCGAGCAGACGCCATAGCACAGCAAGCATGGAGCCCGTTCAGCTCATTGCAGCAGTTATGACCATTGTAAACACCTTGCACATTATCGTGCAGTTTATGCAGAACCAGCACCTGAAAAACCAGGCGAGGAGGCAATGGCAGCGCCGTGATGAGGACATAAACACAGATTTCTCTAAATCTGCGGTTCCCAACAATTTGGAGATCATGGTGTTACTGGGGCAGGCTCATGCCATGGAACACCGATTCTGGGCATGGGAAACAAACACGGAGTGGTGGGACCACATAGTGTTGCAGGTTTGGGATGATTCCCAGTGGCTCCAAAACTTTCGCATGTGTAAGGACACTTCCATGGAACTTTGTGACGTGCTTTCCCCTGTCCTGAAGCGCAAGAATACCAAGATGAGAGCAGCCCTCACAGTTCACAAGCGAGTGGCAATAGCCCTGTGGAAGCTTGCAACGCCAGACAGCTACTCATCAGTCGGTAATCAGTTTGGAGTGGGCAAATCTATTGTGGGGGTTTCCGTGATGCAAGTAGCCAACGCAATCATTGAGCTGCTGCTATCAAAGGTAGTGACTCTGGGAAATGTGCAGGTCATACTAGATGGCTTTGCTGCAATGGGATTCCCTAACTGGTGGGGCTATAGATGGAACACATATCCCTGTCTTGGGACCGGACCACCAAGGCAGCCAGTACATAAACTGCAAGGGGTACTTTTCAATGGTGCTGTAAGCATTGGTGGATCACAAGGGACGTTTCACCAACATCAACATGGGATCGCCGGGAAAGGTTCATGACACTCGCGTCTTCAGGAACTCTGGTCTGTTTAAATGGCTGCAGGAAGGGATTTACTTCCCAGACCAAAAAATGACTGTTGGGGATGTTGAAATGCCTATATTTATCCTTGGGGACCCAGCCTACCCCTTAATGCCCTGGCTCATGAAGCCGTACACAGGCAGCCTGGACAGTAGTCAGGAGCTGTTCAACTATAGGCTGAGCAAGTGCAGAATGGTGGTAGAGTGTGCATTTGGACGTTTAAAGGGTCGCTGGCGCAGTTTACTGACTCGCTCAGACCTCAGCAAAACCAATATTCCCATTGTTATTGCTGCTTGCTGTGTGCTCCACAATCTCTTTGAGAATAAGGGGGAGACGTTTATGGAAGGGTGGGAGGTTGAGGCAAAAATCGCCTGGTCACTGAATACGCACAGCCAGACACCAGGGTGGTTAAAAGAGCACAGCAGGAAGCGCTGCGCATCAGAGAAGCTTTGAAAACCAGTTTCATGACTGGCCAGGGTACTGTGTGACACTTCTGTTTGTTTCTCCTGGATGAAAACCCGCTCCCTTGGTTGCCTCTAAATTCCCTGTAAGCCACCCGCCCTCCCGCCTTCGATCACAGCTTGCTTGCAAAGGAAATAAAGTCACTATCGTTTAAAAAACATGTATTCTTTATTAATTGATTATAAAAATAGGGAGATAACTCACAAGGTAGCCTGGGTGGGGTGTGGGAGGAGGGTAGGAGGGAAGGAAAAGGCCACTTTAAAACTTCTTGAATGACAGCCTTCTGTTGCTTGGGCTGTTCACTGGGGTGGAGTGGTTGGGTGCCCGGAGCCTCTCCCCGCCGTGGTCTTGGGCATCTGGGTGAGGAGGCTATGGAACTTGGGGAGGAGGGAAGGCGGTTAAACAGGGGCTGCAGCGGCAGTCTGTGATCCTGCTGCCGTTCATGAACCTCCACCAGACACTGGAGCATGTCCGTTTGATCCCAGCGTTGTCTCATGCCTCCTCTGATTTTCCTGCCGCCACCTCTCCTCACGTTCACTTTCCTGTTCTCTGCTATTGTGTCCCTCCACACATTCTGCTGAGCTCTGTCAGTGCCGGACGACTGCATGAACTCAGAGAACATTTCATCGCGCGTGAGTTTTTTTCGCCACCTTATCTGAGATAGCCTTTGGAACGGAGGAGGGAGGCTTGAAACATTTGCAGCTGCTGGAGGAAAAAAAGGGAGTGAAGTATTAAAAAAGATACATTTTACAGAACAATGGCTATACTCTCTCACGGTGAACAACACTATTCACATTACATAGCACATGTGATTTTGGCACAAGGTCACATTTTGCATCTTACATTGAGCGCCTACAGCTTTGGTGTTAGAGATCACACACGCAGTGCCGGGCAACAGAATTCGGCTTGCAGGCGGCCATGGTAAGCCATAGTCTTTCAGCTTCTGCAACCTTCATAACAGCAGCACCCTCCTCTCCCATACCAAACAAAGCACGTTGAGTTGACCATTTAGTGCTGCAGTTTTCCTGTTAACAGGCAGCAGCAGAAACCAAACTAACCTCCTACCCCCATCCAATTCTCTGGGATGATCACTTTACCCCTCCCCCCACCGCGTGGCTGGTATCAGGAAAAATCCCTGCTAGCCAAAGGCGAACAGCTCAGCACCAATGTCCCCCCTCCCTCCATGTGGCTAACTGTGGGGAGGATTTCTTTTCAGCCACAAGCAAACAGCCCAGTAGGAACGGCCACCTCTGAATGTCCCCCTAATTAAATTCCCCTATTTCAACCAGGTTACCATGAACTATATCACTCTCCTGAGGATAACACAGAGAGATAAAGAATGGATGTTGCTTGAATGCCAGCAAACACCGGGACCATATGCTACCATGCTTTGTCATGCAATGATACCAGATTACTTGCTACTAGCATGGCGTGGTAAAGTGTCCTACCATGGACATGGTTGAATGGAGATATTGTGACAATGGCTTACATTTTTACATGAGGTTTTGAAAATTCACCTATGTAGATCAGTTTCTAAAAATGTGCAATCTAAAGCTCTACCTCCATGAACAATTGCAAACAAAAAACAAAAACAAAAAAACCCTGCAATCAAGTACACTCATTTTGAAGCAAATGCATGTAAACATTAATTCTGTGGTAGTACAATTGATTTTTTTAAATGTCTTCCAGTATCCTTTGAGGTGGATTTACCCTAAAGATCTCTCTAGGCCAATCCATACTGAAAATTACAGTGAAGAGGTCAACATAGCTAACCTTATATAAAATAAGCTTTTTGTTATAGCTATCTATACCTAAATTTTGTTAATCTAAAAACTGGTGTGTATATGTATATATACACACACACAAGAGGAGATATTACATGACTGAACAAGACAAAGTAGACAAGATGTGTTGCTACTTATCGAATGTTCTGGTGAGTCTAAGTGTGGTGAAATGTAAATATGTTCTATAGTTCCTTAAAAGTGGCATGCATTTGTTTATAAAGAATTATTACAATAGACTGTATAATTAAATCTTGTATAACTCCATTTGTGTCTTGGGGTGGAGACTTGATTCTTTTGTTTTGTAATGACACTGGTCTTTGAAATTGTATCTTTAACTGGTGGTTTATTAATACTGTAGTAATAAAACCCCTATGGTTTCAGCGCTAAGCATTTTGAATATATTAAGGAATTAGGCTTCTCACCACCACTATGTAGTGAGTAGGGCGTTATGCAAGTGTGGTTTTAAATGTGAGGATCACTGGACCACATTGCTAAAACCCTTACAAAAAGGGTTGGAGGAGGGGGGGGCGTTGTTTTTTCCTTCCTAATGTGTGCCTAATTAGCCCTTGCCAGGTAAAATAAACACAGTAACTGAGACAAACCCATTTGCAATGACCCGGCTATCCCCGCGGAGGAGGAGGAGGAGGAAGATTTGTCCAGGTTCTGCAATGCATAAACCCCCAGGGCAGGGTGGGGGGAAACGCTTAGATGCTGCTCTGCAAGTCGATTGCTCCTCAGTGTGTGGCAAGAGGGGCCCTCTCAGTGGGTCAGGCGCGCCCGTGAGCCGGGGGGGGGGGGTAGGGGGGACCACCTGTTTCTCAGGCCCATGCGTGCTCTGGGCTGGGTAAGGGACACGAGCCTGTCACCTGCCCCCGGGGAAGCGGAAAGCTCTCGCAGGCCATCGCCCTGCGGGCACAGCGGGGTTCCCCCCGCCCCCCGTCAGTGGGTTTTCGCCTGTGTCGTCCCGTGAGTTTCGCAGCCAGGAGTCCCGGCAGCGGACCGGGCGCCCAGCACCGCCTGCTGCCACCGGCCCGGAGAGCGCCCCGACGGGGGCAGAGGGCAGAGCCCGCCCGGCAGCACGGGGAGCCTGCAGGCGCCTGGCTCTCCCCGCGCCCTCCGCCCCTGCTCTGCTGCCAGGCGTTACAAAGCCAGCTGCGGACTTTATGTAAGGGCCCGGCCCGGCCCCAGCGCTCCCCGGGGGGATGGGGGGAGGAGCGAACCCCGCCCCGCAGCCCCCGGCCAGGCGCCGCCAGCGAAGCCCCCCAGCGCCACGCGGGTCCCGCACCCGCCCGTTTTGTAACCATCCTGCAGGCGCCGGCCAATGAGCGGCGCCGCGCCGGGTCACGTGCCCCGCGGTTTATATAACCGGCCGCGGAGCCGGGCTACTTCGGTCGGGGCCGGGCGCCAGCAGCATGGAGCGGCGGGGGCGCAGCCAGGCGGTCGCCGCAGCCCCTGCCCCTGCCCCTTGGCAGCCCAGCCGCGGGGCCCTGTAGAGCGGGCCCGGACCATGGGCTCCCACCCGCTGCTGCCGTTCGAGCTGGCGGCCGAGCTCTGCGGCAGCCCGCTGCAGGTGGATGCCCCGAGCCTGGTGCCCGAGTGGCAGGTGCTGCTCAAGCGGGCCGACGCGCTGGCCTACGGGGGCCGGCTCCACGAAGCCTGCCAGCTCTACCAGCTGGCCTCCCGCCACCAGCAGCTGCGGGCGGAGCAGCTGGAGAAGCTGGTGGAGTGCCTGGCGCAGGGCGTGCGGCTCCGGGAGCAGCTGCCCGCCTGCTGTAGCGGCGGGGGCAGCCTCCTGCAGCCCCGGGACTGGGATATCTTCAGCTGTCGCAAATGCCAGGGCTTCCTCTTCGAGCCCGTCTCTTTGCCTTGCGGACACACGTTTTGCAAAAAGTGCCTGGAGCGGGAGAGGGCCACCGAGACCCGCTGCGCCCTGTGCAAGGAAGAAGGGGGCTTGGCGGCCGGGCAGCACCTCCGCGTCAATGTCATCCTCAGCAACCTGCTGGCCAAGTGGTTCCCCGGCCAAGTGACGGCATCGCAGCTCAGGCACGAAGGGAACCTCTTATATAAGGAGAAGAAGCTGCAGGCTGCCCTGCAGAAGTACAATGAAGCAGTCAGCCTCGGTAATGATACACCCCCCCCGGACCCCCGAAATGATCTCCCACCTACCCACCCACAGGGGCAGAGTTAAGGGGGTTAATGCTGCAAGGCTTAACTCCTTAGAATTTGGATTTGTGTGTGTGGGCAACTTTTGCCACTGATCGATCACAGCCAGGCAAAGGGGATGTTAGAAGCCCAAGTTTCTAGCAACCAAATTTGTCCTTGGAATGCTGCTGTATGTGTCATTTATAGTCTTGCTTTTAAATCTGAGCCTATTTACCGAGTATTTTGACCAGGGCAAGTGACAGCCTTTCATCCCAGGGGCAGCCCTTGGGTGCTATTCCTAGCTATAACGTGGGAGTGGGTGTGGCAGTTGACATGCTGTGCCCAGGATCTGCCATAAAGCCGAGTCCTTTATAAAGAAGCAAACGTGATTAATTGCTGGAGTATTAAGTGTATTGGTGCCAGGTTAAAATCTGAACCAGTTTACCAAACAGTTTGTCCTGTGCATGCTACGGACTTTCAGCTTGTAGGTACAGGCAGCAGAGCATGCATGACATAACAGTGCTCGTTGTGTTTGGTGTTTGCAGTTTGACAGGGTAAACTAATATCCATCATATTTACCTCTCTTCTCCGTCTCTTTTGGGGGGAGGGATAACCTTTAGGAATCTGTTGTGGTGTTGTCTTGTTTTTAAAGTCCAAAGTGAAACTAGGTCAGGAGAACAGTGTGTTGCATAAGCTTTTAGCCTGCGACTCTGGTCTGGATTCCCTGCCCCCTTCTTATGGAATGGTTGTATAACCAGTGAAGTAACAACAAACTGGGTCATGTTTCTGAAAGCATCCCAGAGGTTTGATTGTATTTATCAAAATTACAAGTGAGTCATTGTCACAGCTTCCCATTACATGGTGCTCATTGGAATATGCTTTATTTCAGGAGATGGTTGCTGCTTTTTGCCTAAAAAGGGCTTTTTCCTCTCTCGACGAACCTAACTTAGGCAACAGCACGTGGTGAATCATTACTGGACAAGTTGCAATGAGTGAAAAGATTTAAAATACCCTGGCCTAATTTGTTGAGGGATTTGTATGCCAAATGATTTTACTGGAGATTTAGTGCTAGATCTTAGAATAAATGCAGGTCACTTTTAGAACTCATGACTGTTCTGTGTCCTCTACAGTCCCCACCCAACAGGAACATGGTAGTAATCCAGAACAGCTAAACGAACTTCTGTAAACACTGTTCAGTTTAACAATGTCAAGCCAGTAATAAACATTACAAATGGTTGTGAAGAAAACTGTGATTTATTACTTAACTATAATCTGGCTTCAAAATAAGTAATGTTGCATAAACTAAATGTAAAAAAAAAGTTAAAATAACCATAAGGGTTCTTAGTCTGGGATATCCTTTAATTAAAGATCAGAATTTTTTCTTAAACCATATTGTGCCTAGCTGTTACAGCACACAGTGTATGAAACAATGGGGCCATTTGGTCTGTGCTGTTGTAATATTTATCTGATGGTTGCTGTTGTTAGACATTGTGCGTGAGGTAATATCTTTTATTGGACTAACTTTTGCTCATGAAAGAGAAGCAGTTGAGCTACAGAGTTCTTCAAGTTGTCCTTTAATTTCTTTTGATTATAGTTATGTGCCATTTATGAATTTTGATCCCAAACCTTTTGAAAAGGGAGTTACTCATTTTAAAATCCCATCTATACCGTAGCAGCATTAATTGGGCCACAATAATACAGTTATGACATGCCTTAAATCTTTCTGATCAGCTTCTATAAACAATCTGATCCTCTGTCTGAGCTGGTGATTTATTTGTGAGCTGTAGTAAATTTTATGTATGCAGTGTTTAAAGCAGTTGTGTAATATAAATCTGACACCTCTGTACCTGGAAATCCCCAGTGAGATTGCCATATCTCATTTTGTAATTGGTTATTTAAATAATGGATGTTTGCTTTCCTGAGACCACTGGAAAAAGGCATTTGCTTAAGAAAAGAGTCCTAAAGAATAGGGCCCATGTCTGTAATGTTTGTCGTAATTGAGTCAATGTTTCCATTACTTGCAGCTCCAAATGACCATTTATTATATAGCAACCGGTCCCAGATTAATTCTACTTTGAAATCTTATGAAGATGCATTGCATGATGCAGAAACAGCATGCAGGCTCCAACCGTATTGGTCAAAGGTAAGTTCTAATTTTAACAAATGTATTTAGAGTAAAACCTCTTTGGCCATTCTGGTTACTTAGCAAATGCTGTAGCACAGAAGAACTGAACTTGAGATGTCTCAACATCTTAGATCAGTTGAACTCAAACACATTCCATGATGATACAACTTAGTTCTCTGGCTGGGGAGAAAGGCAGGGTGGCACAGGCTGCTGGCTGATGGACTAAGCACAATTGTCACTGATTTTTATGGAGGTCAGGCTCACATGCCCTGTTAAAAGTTGAGTGCAGTGCTTATATTGTGCTAGAAGGAAGCATTAAGGAGAAGGTTAGGAGATCAAGTTGCAGGGGGAGGTTCTGTCCAGTGATGAGATGAGGGATCCCTAGGACTTCCACTGTACCAGCATTTAACTATCCAGATGCTGTGAGGGTAAACTTGCATGTGTATCTGTTGTGAGGGTAGAGATGCAATACTTCTCTGAGAGCTAAATATGAAAAACCTTCAGACGTGTTGTGGTTAAAAGCTCAGACTTCTTATATTTCGTCTCTTGTTATTTAAGTAATGTGGACTATCATAATTGCCTTGTGCCTGTATTTATTTCACTTTTGGAATATTTTTTTCATAGTAATCATCTTGCTTTAATAAAGAGGCTCAAAAGGTGGTAAAAGAAATAAACTAGAACTGTAGATCTGTTTGCTTTCAGGGTCACTTAAGGAAAGGACAAGCATTAGCTAATGTGGGCAAAATAGAAGACTCTTTAAGAGAGTTTCTGTTTTGCCTTGCCCTGGATTTTGGGAACAGGACAGCTAAATCAGAGGCTCAAAAGGTGAGTTCTTTAGCCTTGTGCAACAACACTTAGATACCGAAAATGAAATAGAGATGATCATTTTTCTCTGTTTGTTTGTTTGTTTTGTGTGTGTGTGTGTGTATATATATTATATATATATATGTAAAGATTACATGGTGATAGCTGGGGCAGGGGGGTATTCCTGTTCTAATTATGTTTTGTGTCCATTGCTATACTTCAAAAAGTTTCATTGGCGATCACAAGAAACACAGCACATGGTGTATGGAAAGGCTGTTTTGTGTGTTTAATATTAGTAAGAGTTGCCTATGTAACTTAGATAACAGGAGAGTTGTTAAAAATCAATGGGAGGTTAGTATTGCACTCCTAGACTCCCTGCAATTACACTTCGTCTGTTTCCTAGTCTTATTACCAGGCAGACTGATGCTATCTATTGGGACAGAAGTGGGAGTTTCTAGTTAATGTTGTATCAGTTTGATGATTTAGACTGTGAAAACACTGCGCAGTAGGGCCAGGATTGCACTTGGGAGCAGCATCGCTCTTTTCACAGCCACTCAAGATGCTGTGAGCATCAGCAAGCAGAGAAGGCATGAAAGGGAATAGAGTAAACAAAGGAAGTCTTTTTTTTTTTTTTTTTTTTTTAAAAACAGTTTCAAAAGGCAGCTAATGATTAAAGATAAATGGGCAGTGTGACAGATCTATAATAAGCCTCTTCCAATAGCAAACTAAGCTGGAGTATACAGCTGTTTGATTACCTTTATCTTTAAAGAGCTACTGCCGAGGTTGCCAATCCTTCTTTACATATCATGATGATTTTCAGTTGTTAACATTTACCTTAAGGTTTGCATGTGTATGTTTGACCCTTCGTTGAAAATCTTTGCTGGGACACTCAATATTATATAAAATATAATAATTTTAGTGGTGGTCCCTGCAGTGACAATAAACGAGTACATGATTGCTCTGTTATGAGAGTGTTCATGCATCAGTTTGATTATAATATAGTCAATTTGGGAGGCTTTGAGTGATTGTAGACATTTGCGTGGTGTTTTCCTGAATTGCCAGCATGTTCCTTTCCCAAAATGCAGTCTCATGCATTATCACTACAAAAATAATACATGAATCAATGACATCTTCTTGTGTGTTGGAGCAAGATATAATGAATTGATACGTCTCTAAATTCAGGCTCAAAGTAGCCTTGTCCAAGAATGCTATTCATTTCTAAGTAATAGGGTCCGGAGGATGAACTAGACCGGGGTCTCAAACTCAAATGACCACGAGGGCCACATGAGGACTAGTGCATTGGCGGAAGGGATGCATCACTGACACCCCACCCTTGTTGCCCCTGGGCCTGCCCCCACTCCACCCCTTCCATGAGGCCCTGCCCTGCCTCTCCCCACCCCAACCCTGCCCCCAGGGAGTGCAGGAGGTGTGCATGGTGTGGCGGGGGCTCAGGGCAGGGGGTTGGGGTGCAGGGTGTGGCAGGGGGCCCGGCGCCGCTTACCTAGAGCAGCTCTGGGATGGCAGTGGTGCACGCTGGGGCCAGGGCAGGAAGCAGCTGGAACCATGTCCCTCGGGGGGGGGGGGGGGGGGGCGTTCTGTGTGCTGCTCTTGCTGCTCCTCCAAGTACCTCCCCTGCCGCTCCATTGGCCATGGTTCCCCGTTCCCAGCCAGTGGGAGCTGTGGGGGGCAGTGCCTGGAAGCGAGAGTAATGCCTGAAGGCCTCTGTTGCCCTCTCCTCTCTCTCTGCTCCCTTCCCCCTGGGCCCACAGAGGCATAGCTCCTTCAGGGAGCGGCGTGGGGCTCGCAGCGCCGGGGGTGGGCAGAGGGGTGCGGGGAACACGTGTTTGAGACCCCTGAACTAGACTTTGTCAGTTACAGAGTGCATCAAAGGATACAATATTCTATTGATTTTTTTCAGACTGTTTGCGTAACAGTGACATAGCCCCTTTTTATTAAATTCTTTAAGTGAAAATTTGTCATTCTGCTCATTGTAATTGGCAGTCTTCATTGGAATTCATTTTGACACTGAAGGTTCAATCCTGCAGTCTTACTCACAAGAGGAGTCCCTTTTTTGGCTTGAACAAGACTATGGATTGATTGTTCTTGCATGATGTGCTCAACACACTTATGGAAGCATTGCTGGACCAGGCCTGGAGTTTGGTGAAACGATTGCAGTCTTTTCAAACATCATTCCTATTTTTTTAATACATTCAGTGAATTGCACTGTGCTAGCGGTTAGCAATTTGCTAGTGGATTTTACAGATTCGTTTTCTGTTGGCAAGAAGCCATTGCCTGTTTTTCATGCCTGCAACTTTGCCACTGTCTCAATTTTTCTTTCTCAACACACCAATTATTTGTAACCTAAGAGATTTGATTAGGCCTGAACCTAGGGGATGGTAAGTGCCCTCAGTTCCCAGTTACTTCAGTGGGAGTTTAGGATGCAGAGCACAAACTTGTATTAAATTCCTCAAGCAGTAGCTGCAGACATGTTTATGTAGAGCTCTAGTTCTGCAGTCTGCAGAACATAATCCATATGTGGATAAGCGGTGTTATCCTAAAGAACAGAACTGGTTGACAATGTATCAGCACGTTTAACTCTGAAATTGACTCTTTTGCTTATTCTAAGCCTGCATCACACCAGTTTTTTTTGTTCCTGTTGGGTTCACCCTAAATCTAATTAGTTGTTGTCCATGGGTTCTTGAGTGGTTTTGCAAATCAAAGATGTTTCTGTCAACCATCCCCTTCCTCACAATCTCCACTTTCCCTTAAGATATTGTAAGAGAAGAACTAAGTTGTGAAGTATGTATTCTGTTTTATATCACAGCTTCTACTTAGTTTATTTTCACCCATCCCGGGAAATGCTCAGGAACACTTACCAGATACCCTGCAGCTGTTGTCACCTCACCCTAGATTGAAGGGGAACCTTCTAAATTCAGTGGGATCTGGAGACAGCAGCCATAACTTACCAAGATTGCTCAAGGTAAAGATAAATTCTGATGTGTGGTTCTTAATTTTGATGTGTTGTATGGGACATTGAATAATACTTTTTCCAGATTAGTCTGATTCTCAGTAAAAACACTTAATACAGACAAGCTGGAGTACTTTGGGGATTGAAAAGGTGCAACAAACTAATTTACTGGATTCAACTTAATTGATGCATAAAAAAGGAAGGCTGTCAGACTTCAAAAGACTTATTCTTTTATAGACTATATCCTTCTTTATTGCATGTCAGAATTAATCCCTTTACCTGTGATAACAAATTCTAGATCTTCCATGTAGTTTACAGCAGAGATGGGCCTGAGTTGTAAAACTTGGATCCAGGTGTCCCCAAAGTTTGGGACGTGTTCAGATCAAAGGTTTTTATTTGGCCCTTAATTGATAGGCCATCCACTCTGGATTCAGATTAGCTATTCTGGGATCTTTACTCATATGGGTATATGAGCCAGCCATGAGGTTGGTTTCAGATCTAGAGTTCCATAATGTTTATGGGAGTTTGGATTCAGAGGTTTGGCTGAGGACTATCTTTGGTTCATCCAAACATGAAACTCCATGGGTATAAATTCTCTCACACAGCTGTAGGAAAGCTTTGCGCTAACTCCTGCAAACTAGAATGGTGGCTTTTGCACAGCTCTGCTCAGGTGCACCCCTAAGTCAATGCCATAGTCTTCTGGAAGGCCTTTTGTGCTTTCTGAGAGGCCCCCTCCCTCAGACCACCATTCCTGAATGAGGTAGGTTTTTGGGAGGAGAGGAGACAATTCAACCCCCTATACCTGCCTTCCTGTGTCCCATGGTCTGATGGCTCTTGACAGTGACCTACAGTATCTACATTCATATTCACCAGGGAAGTAGGGGGAATCAGTCCCTTAATTTGATTTGGCAAACTGGTAGGCGTTGTCCTATGAAATGGTTACTACCTGGCCGTTGCATGGCAACAGTAGGATTAAGGATGATGCAGCAAAACTATTTCAATTTATGACCTGCTGTCTGGGATATTGTGACTGCTGTAAAGAACCAGCAGCCCATTTTAGCTATTGAGTAAAAGATCCTTCTCACTGAAGCAGCCTCTTGTATGTACTTTTCCTTTTATCAGTTGTTTTGTGTATACTCCTACTCCTCCCTTGGAATAAAGATCATATGGTGTTTAGGCTTTTAAACTAGCAGTGTAATATATAAAATGTTTTTCACTCTAACTTAAAGCCAGTCAAATGGGTTTATCCATAGTTCAGGAAATGACTTACAGGGTGAGACTTTGCCAAAAAACTGCCTGAATCAAGTATCATGGCTAAGTTATAGACCCCTCTAAATGAAGGCTGATAACACAGCAACACTGGGGTATGTGTGCTTGTTTTGTTGTGTATTGTGGGAAGATGGTATTTTTGACTGAAAATAAGGCCCAGACCCAATGGTTCTCAAACTGGGGTCCATTGGTTTGCAGAGCCCTTCCTGATGGTCCACAACATGACAACTTTTGAGATCTGAACAGGAGTGTGCGCATGTGTGGAGTTCTCTTACAAAGTGGTCTGCAGAATGAAAATGCTACAGAACTGCAGTCCTGATGTACAATCATCTCTTTCACACAGGTAAATGTGGAACAGAAAAAGTGTTTCCCTGCTCAGGAAGAACAAAAAATGACTGACTGTGGCAGTTTGAGAAAATCCATTCAGATGATAGAAAGTGTAAAAGGCTGCTCAGAAGATGAGAACAAACATGACTCCGCCCCAGAGTCTGCACTTCTCATTTCTGAGAAATGCAGCCTTCTGAAGAGAAAGCACTGCTCTGAGGAAGTGAGAAGTGCTGACGTGCCCTGCAAACTCATGAAGAAAGGTAAACCTGTTTAATAAAACTGGGGGCTGGTCCTGTGCTATGAAATCAGTGGGAATTTTGCCTGAGTAAGGAATGCCATGTTGAATCCTTAATTCCAACAGGAGTTTTCTCTAGTAAAGAGTGCAGGACTGGGCTCCAAATTAGACTTTCATGTCTTTCCTAATGACTCTGGATTGTAGTCAGGGCTTGAACTGATCTGGCCTTCCAGAGTCAAGATTCCTCTGTAAAAGTAATTACACTAATCAATCTAGAAAAAGAACAAAAGGGATTGGGCCAAGCCCTTGTTTACCAGTTGGCACTGACATTTCTCATCACTCTCAGGGCTCATGTATGCTTATGGCACTCTGTCCAATAGTAATAGTATAATTAAATTCAAAATGCTTTGACGTGCTTTATTCATACTTACAAAGCACGAATGTTGTTCATTGCTCATAATGTCTGAGATCTCAGAAGTGTGTGGGCCTGATTCATTCTCCATTCAGTGGATATACAGTGGCATGACAGGAGAATCCAGCCCTTTATATATTTCCAATAGTGACAACATGGTTGTGAGAGACACTGTTAATGCAAGACTAAATTCAAGCCTGATGTGAGTTGTGGCTACTTATGCCAAGGCTGATTTTGGTGTCTGCACGTAAATTATTCATATGATCCTAATGATTCAATAACTACCCATAAATACATGCAGTATGTGATCACAGTACGTGTTAAAAATCAGATGCTGTTTTGTGAACTGACAAAACAGTCTCTCTGAAATGTTAAACCAGTCACACAGCTGTGTCCAATTACATATTCCAGTGTGTTTTTTTTTTTTTTTTTTTTACAATTATAAATAGGTACAATTGATGCCAAGGGCTCTAGTGCTGGGTGCCGCGTTCCATTTGAATTTGTGGACCCCTCTGACCTGGATTGCTCTTTGTGTATGAGGTATCCATTATTTTCTGCTGAATGTTTTTATGTTGTACTTGGTTTTCACTGCCATGATTTATGGCATTCCCTAGCTTGCTTGGTTGCTTATTTTTCTGTCATTTGGAAGCTGTTTGGTGTGGGATGGGTTTTCCCCCTCACTTGTAGTTATTTGGTTCTGAAAAGTTGACTATGACTGAAAGCTTTTGATGTGCCCCAGACAAATGACTGTTCTGACACAATGTATCTTTTGCCAGAGTTAAATAGAGTAATGAACATATCTGAAAGACTTGTTACCAGCCACTATGTGGAAGTCAACACTTAGTCCTCTGCAGTTAATTTAATACATATGCCATGTAGCGATTTTTTTTCATAATGCTTGAAATATTTGAAGAGTTGATTTCTATGAAGACACTTTACTATAGTGGCACCATTTTACATAAAGTAGTGTGTGTTGCAATAGTAAAAGCCTTATAAGCGAATAGAAGTCCTTTGTGTGTCTCTGTTACGTAACCAACATTCAGCACAGGTAACCAAACATAGGCTCGATATATACTCGCTCACTGTGATGTTCATACTGTTAAATTTCACTGATTTCTCCTCAGAGATGCTTCTAATTTAAACAGGAGTTGCCTAACACATTAGTTTTATTATTGGTCTTCCATGCTCCATTAAACTTTGACAGAGCAGATACATCTTCCCAACTAACATTTAAAAATCCACAATAGTTAAACTATTCTTCCAGATAAAATCTCTATCTTAAAGCCAGTGTGTGGCAATAAGTTAAACCGTAGAAAAGCACTACTATATTGTAGCTGTTATAGGTCAACAAAAGAGCAAGTGTAGACTGCAGATAAAGAGTTGAGATACAAGATGCTAACCTAGTTCTTGTAGCTGTGTACAAACAGCCTGACTTCAAATCATGTTTGTTAAAATGTATAGCAAAACTAAGCATAATTAACATTAGAATTGTGTGCAGAAGATGTGAAAGGTGCTTAAACTTGACAGATCTGTCAGTTTGTGTAATTTCAGGAGTTACTTAAGCAGTCCTCAATTAGGATGATTACCTTGATGTGCAACCATAAGAATAAAGAGTTGTTCGTTTCTCAGGGTTCTGACAAGGACACAGTCACACCCCAGGGAGGGGGGGAAAAAATCCCCAAAACCAATTAGCTGAGTTCTGGATTAATCTCCTATTCGCTTTTAGCTTTTAAATGAATTGGTGTTTGGTTTTTTGGGGTTTGGATTTGTCATTCTTTTGACAAGTCTGCAAATATTTTTGTGCCATCTTAAAAGATTGTTTAAAACAAAATGAAATATTTTGGAAGTGTATTTGGTTTGGCTAGTTTCAGCTTTGAACAAATTTTTAAAATAAAACAAATAAAATCAGAAGGCTAAACTATAAACCTGAACAAGTGCTCCAAAAATTTACACAGCTATCAAAAGATTCAGTATTCGTAAGAGCAAAACTTTCTCCAGCACTCCCTCCCTCCACCCCTATCACATGCACACGCAATTTGAATTTGGCTGTTTTAATGAGGATGTCAATTTGACTGTTTACAAAGCAATTTTCAGATACATTTTTAAAAAAATTACTTAGCTCTGACCCTTTATCTTCCCTGACTGTCACAATATTGGCCCTGATCCTGAAACTCAGGACAGCACAGATCCTTGCAGCCACAGAGTCCCACTGAAGTCCTTGAGACCACATGGATGTAAGGGCCTGTGTAAGGAGATCCTGTTGGAGGATCTTCCTCTTGCCACTGATATTAACACAGTGGTCCTTATCCATATTATGTAATTCAGAAATGTCTTATCCATGATTTTGAGGCTGAGGTGTACCTTACTCTGAAACTTGGACCTTTCACCAACTAACTGCAGAAGCTACTATTGACCTAATTCGTGTAAGTGGTAAAGTGTTATTGACCTGTATCCACTTCAGCGGCATGCAGTAAGCACTGGCAGAACATGTTTTGAGGTGATGAGTCACCCATTCCAGCTGTGGGGGGCCCAGCAAACTGTCCTGATAGGAAGAATAGTAAGATGCCAATATGGCAGCTCTTTTGTGACCTAAAAATCAAAAAGATATCCTACAGAAATGGAAACATGGACATATTGTTAAGGATGAGGTATATTCAGTCCTGCCTTAGCCTAGGGGCTGGATGGATGAGCTCTCAAGGTCCCTTCCAGCCCTACATTTCTATGCTTCTGTGTTTGCTTGGAAGGTATTTCCTAACAGGGGTGAATATTTTTGCTGTTGTCCTACTGCACCTGACGTGGTCTCAAGAAATCTTTCTCTAAAACATATTTCTCCAATTTGTGAGGCTTAAATCAGCCCCCATTAAACTCAATAGCAAAACTCCCATTAGTGCAGTAAGAGCTGGATCAGGACTATGATCTAATAAAGACATTTCCTGTGCTGTAAATTTAAAGTTGTATTTGTCCAAGTAAATAATTGTAAATTGATTAAATATACACTCACTTTAGAACTTGATATTAAGCATTTTAAAGCAAAACAGGTAATATTCTGCAGTAAAGTTTCTGCTCTTTGAACAATTGACAGGATTTTAACTGATGTGCAACAAGATAAATGGCATTATAGAATCCCATATGTTCCCTCACTAAATGTCTGTATTTATAGCAATTAATAAACTGGCTATTGCTTTTTTTGTTACGTGTCATTAGGAGTCAGTATGTTCTTAAACGTACTTTGCATGCTGAAAAAATTAAGTATGGAATTGTTTTTATGCATGGACAGTAGCACCCAGATTTATCTTGATAAACCAGTTTTTCTTTAAAAAAAATAAAATAAAAATTGCCTTTAATAAAGTGAACTTAATTTTATTTAGCCTGACATAACTACTTATGAGGCCTTAAAATATTGAGTGGGCTTTTTAAGATCAAAGTAACTGGTTTTGAATGGTCTCATTTCTAGTCTCAATGATTAGAGACTTTCGTAACATTCCTGGGGTTTTGGGGGCGTTTTTTGGTTTGTTTTTTAAATGCTCATCAGCAGGGAAAGATCTCTTTGGAATTTATATACCTTCTTCCACTGAATTTAGCCAGAAAAGACCACTAACTTGAAAACAGAATCACAGTGTATAATGTTTTGATGAAATATGACTCTAATGTGCATTTATTTTGTGGGAGAATGTTCAGCTGGAAGTTAGAAGCTATGTAATGTATTCAAACAAAACTAAATTCTCCAGCATTAGATATGGTAACAATAGTGTAGACCAATTTTATTAATCCTATAGGTCCCAAAACAATTATGCATGTGCTTAATTTTACTCATGAGAATTAGGGTTTGCCAAGATCAGGGCCTTATTTTTAATCGGCTTAATTTGAAAAACATAAGGCTTATCTTATTATTTTGTACTACCATTCATCACCATAGCATGAGTGCAATCCTGGTCAAATGAAAATCAGTGACAAAACTTTTGTTGACTTCAATGGAACCAGGATTTCAGAGAACCTTCAACATTAGATTGGCAATAGCAAAATGCCTATGTTGAATAAATACAAAAATTGTGAAAGCAAGAAACAGAATTCTGTGCACTTTAGTCAGAAATTTAACTACTGAATAGATATGAAAAGATGTTATGAAGTAGCCTTTTAGCTTCTTGCCACACGATATTGTCGCTTTTTTGTTGTTTGTTCCATTCCAGGCTTTTTTATGAACCTGTCACCACGCATTGTGGGCACACCTTCTGCCTGAAATGTCTTGAAAGATGCCTAGATCACAACCCAAAATGTCCCCTGTGCAAAGAAGGTCTTTCTGAGGTAATGATACATCAATTTAGTCCGCATAAACTGGAGGGGAGGGGGAATTAAAGATTTCAGAAATCCACTGGTATATCCAAATATACTTGAAATCCCATATGATTTGGGGAAGAAGCCTTTTTTAAATGTCTCTACAGCTCCGAGAGCTCATGAAGTTTTCTGTGTTTAAACATTTAAGACCTAAAGCCCTGATCCAGCACAGAGCTCACTGTGTGTGGTTGCAGATTGAGATCAGCAGTGCTCTGCCTAGTTAGCCCATGTGGCGCAAGCTACTGGAACAGGACTAAGGTGTTACTTTTTGTCATTAATTGTTCACTTGAACTTCTTCAATCATGTTCTTAATTCATGCCTTAAAAGGATACTGTCAAGTAGCTTAGATGCTAATTTTTCCCTGCCTTAAAATTGTTAAATTATTTGTGTGGCCTTCACTAGTAGAATTTGGTATGCTTTCTTTGTCTCTGGTTTACTGTTCAATTCTTGCTGTCTTTTGCAGGAATGCATATTTGTAATGAAACTTTTTTATAAAAGTTTGGGAGGTGAGGGTTGGCAGGGAATAAACTGTTAAACATGATGAGAAATGTCTCCAGATTTCAAGGGTGGGATTTTTAAATATGCTTGGCACTGGTCAACTCCCAGGAACTAACAATTTTTAATTGTAGTGGAGAGGGGGAAGAGTAGCTAGGGTTTGTAGAGTCTGTACAATAATATTTTGTTCCCTCTTCTGGCTCTGTGATACATTATGTCAATGGCACTAGTGTTGACTTGTTGCTGCACCAACCAAAAGTAAACAAAATGAGTACAGTTAATTTTAAGCTCCCTGGGAAACACTGCAACGATATAGATGTATAAAAATTCTGAGACACACCTGAACTAAACTGGTAGGGAAAGAAATGATCTCTTCAGAGTGAACGCATTTAAAGGACACAGGAAACTCTAAATGATTACCACATATACTATCATAAGCCAGTTCATTTATAAGCTGACCCCCCGAAGATGGATAAGTAAAAATGGAAAATTTTTATGACCCATTCATAAGCTGACCCTATAATTCAGGGGTTGGCAAACTTTGGCTCCTGGGCCATCAGGATAAGCAGCTGGCAGGCTGAGATGTTTGTTTACCTCGCGTGTTGGTAGGCAAGGAGGTAAGCCTAAGTAAACAAAGTGTTCCAGCCTGCCAGCTGCTTACCCTGATGGGCTGGGATAGCAACTAGTACAGAAATTTTGGGGCAGAGGGGGAAGAAACTGGGGATCAGGGGGGTAATCCCTGGGACCCCCACACTCTCCCCATCCCTTCCCACCTTACCTGGGGCAGGCCAGGGGAGAATGTCTCTGGCCTGGCCAGAAGCGCTCAGCAGGCCAGACTGGGCAGCATGGCTGCAACCTACCAGCCCCGGAGCTGCAGCTGCTTGGGAGGCTGTAGGGAGAGCAAACTGGCCAGAAGCTGAGACACTCTGGTCCTGCCTCCTCCCTGCTGGCTGTCCTGCCTCTCCTTGCCCCCTCTTGGGGAGGGGCTGTGTCCCAGCTCTCCCTCTCTCTATACCTGTTCGTAAGCCAACCCCCTTCTCTGATGCTTCTCTTTTTTCCTTAAAAAATTCGACTTATGAACGAGTATGTATGGTACTGCACTTCGGCACTTTAACTTTTTCAATGTAGTAATGAAACTGAAGCTCATCATGCATCCAGCTGTTTTTGCTAGCTCTTGGGGAAATACGAAAGCCCATAGGAAATGACCAACCCCCAGCAAAATGACACAGTAGCTAAAACTGTCTGTGTAGGTTATCCATACCAATTACAGGAGTAATAAACAAAGAGCCCAATCCTGCAAGCTCTGAGCATGGAATTCCCCATGACATCCGTTTGGTGCATGACGTTCATGTAGGATATTGGGTTGCAATGCTGTTCTGTATTGCTTTGAAAAGTCTTCTGAAAAATCAGTGCCCTTCCCATGTCTTTATAATAGTGTGGTGCTGCAGGAGTACCCCCAAACTAGTAAGGGGTTGTCCTCACCTCTCCTGTAACCCTGGGTACTCCCATGCTGTACAGCTCTGGCTCAGAGCCCTGACACCAACAGCCTCTCACAGCACAGTGGCTTCACCCTAGAGTCCACCAGTCTGGTTGCTGCTTGCCAGGGTAACCCCAACAGCCCTTCCTCTCAGATTTCTCCAAAACCACCACACACAAGACAAGTGCGTGTCTGGCTTCAGTAAAAAGACCAGAGTTGACACTTGTATAGTACAGTAATATTGTATTGAATCAGTTGATTCAATTGCTTATTCTTGGGAGTCCAGAATCCCAGGTCCTGGGGTGTCTGGACCTTGATTCCCACAAGCAGGTTGGAAAGCAAGGAGGGAAATGGATTAGTGACCATTTCTGTTTATAATGGAAGTGACCAAATACAATGAAGAAAAGGCTACATTGGCGGAAGCTTTAGTAAAATAGCACATGGCAGCCATTTGCTATACATTATTTGATAGCTGCTCAGTTGTGCCTTCTTGTTGCAGTGCTTGGCTCTGAGGAAATACTGCAAAACAGTACTGATGGAGGAGTTAATAGCGAAGTATCTTCCAGAGGAACTCACTGAGAGAAGGAAGATTTATGAAGAGGAAATTGCAGAGCTTTCCAAGTACGTAATCCGTTTGTGTGGGCTTTTGTGGGGGCGGGGTTTAAACCAATCTTTAAAAGTAGTTTAGCTAGCAACTGAATGGCTCTCATCACTGTAGAACATGTCCTAAGGTGCTGATAAAGGAGCTTACTCTGTATTACATGATTCAAGAAGGGAAGGGTTCAGACACACAAGACTAAACGGCAAGCTATCTGGTAGCATGCTCTTGTGGAGGAAATCCAAGCCAATAATATGAGGTGCATTACAATGACATTGTGTTCTCTTGACCTTTGCGCATGTCACAGTGGCTTGAAGTGGAATTTCACCCCAGTACACGTGGATTGGAAATTGGATGGGAAAGGGGGAGAGTTGAGGAACATCCGAGCTCTAAAGCAGCCTCGAGAGATGAGGTGATAACTCTTTCTGGCTTTGCTGGAAGGATTAAAAAAATAGTTCCATTAATTATAATGGAATATCATTACCATTATCTGGAAAGATGAAAGCAAAAAATAGTTTAACTGTTTTTGTATAATACAGAAATCTTGTTTTTCCATTTGATTTTATTGTAAAGCACTCTGAGATCTTAGCAAGATAAGGCATCCTCTAAATTGCATTGTTTCATCATATGTCTGTAGTTTGTACCTTTCTAATGCTTTTTCAAAGATGGTGCATATTTTCCTATATATAGTGGGATTTTTTTCTTATAGCTTAAATAAGAACGTTCCCATCTTTGTCTGCACAATGGCCTATCCTACAGTCCCTTGCCCTCTGCACATCTTTGAGCCATGTTATCGACTGATGATTCGAAGATGCATGGAGACTGGCACCAAGCAATTTGGAATGTGTATCGGTGATCCTATCAAGGGGTGAGTGAGCAGTGGTAGCAGTTGCATTTCTAGATCAGACCAGTGATCTGTTTAGTCCAGTAGCCTGTCTGTACTAGCTGCCTCAGAGGAAGGTGCTGAAAACCCCATAATGGACAACTGTGGAATAACAGGCAGGAGGGTGGTGTGGGGGGAGGAAGGTGGGGCGGCATTTCTTCCTAGCAGTGTTAGTGGTAGGCTGATGTACTGAAGCGTGAAGATAAGATTTATATCCCTTACTGTACACTTTTACCCTGGCTCACAGAAGGCTTAGGTATGGCTTGAGGAAAAAGTATTTTCTTAGTTTTAAATTTATTTCTTTGGTACCGCCAGTCAAGTTGGAATGCTAACAAATTTTACTATCAAAAGAAACAGTCATGTTATCAGGTCAGATTGACATCTCCACTGTATTAAATATAGTGGTTGGGATAGAAGTATAGTCAGCTTAGTACATGGACTGGCTGAGCATTTACATCATGCCATTTACAGCAAAGTGCCAATCTTGTATCACCCTGCCTTGAAGCCCACATCTGCATTTTGACTTCTCACCAGTGTCATAATGGTCTGTATGAGCCAGAGACTGCAAAGCAAAGCTTACTAAAATCATTGGTAAGTTTTTTTTCTTTGTAGATTTCATAGTCCTTCCATAGTGCTTACTATCCTTAACCCTACTGGGCCTTAGAGTTTTCATTGAACATCTGAAGTTCTTACATTTCAAAATGTAGATAAATAGTAGAAAGTGAAATATCCTTCTAGAACAGCTGCACTGGTGCAGTATGTGATTACCTAAGGTATTCCATTGCACAAGAAATGATCAGTATTCTAAAATTCAATGGCAACAAACTACATTAATGCAGAATTAAGGTTGTTCGGGGGTATATTGTTCCCTTGCAAAACACTGAGTTGAGCAAAACTCAAACTGCTGAAAACCAGGGAATGCCCAGTTAAGATCGCCCATGCAACCTTAAATCTGCCCTGTTTTAGCAATGCTCCAGTATGCCCTGTAACAGCATACTTTGCTTTGCCAACCCTATAGTTGCTGAAATGTGCTAGCTCTTTACCTCCTTTTTACTGCCCATTCATTCTCACTCACAGGATTCCATCTAACACTATTAAAGGACAAAAATGAGGAAAATTATCATAGCTCCTGGACACACATCTCTAATATGATCCAATGTATGAGGTGAACACCAGGAATAAGGCTCAGATTATTTCCACCCAAATGAATCCCCACAATGCCCAGTATGACACAGCTTCTTAAATCACTGGTTAGGTAATGCAGAGTGGGCAAAACATGATGCCTGCACTGTCCGTTCCTAAGTTCTGTGCAATGTTTCTTTGAAAACATCACATTAATCTGCCCTAGTAACTACTTGGCCCAACCAGTCCCCCAGGAGCTAATGAAAAACAGATTTTTTTTTTTCCCCAGGCAAGTCTTGAACTGGTGGTTTACCACCCATCCCTGTGAATCCCCTATAAACCCCTTCCCCTTGCTGCAGCTCCAAACCCCTCTCCCCTAATAGCCATCTCCTTCCAGGAAGCAATCACATTTAATTTTTTTCCTCCCCTGTAGACTTTGATTACATTCTCCCACAAAACAAAATTGCCACCTATGACTTGCAAATTGCAGCCTCCTCTGGCCACTCAGTCCAAAACTTCTTTTGTCTAAGATGTGGGGCTTGTAATTAATTTATCCTTCATTATGTTAACTGAAGAGGGTGAGTTCACCACCATCTGTCTTAGTGTGGTCTGTGATTCATCCAGCCATTAGTACATCTCAATTTAACAGAACAAGGCAGCAGAAGGCAACTGGTTTGGTTTTGAGGCCTGTAACTTGGATCCCCTAGGTCAGATAACCCCACATTTGGATTGTTAATGCTACCCTTTGCCCCATGAGGCAAACCAAATTTCATAGCAATCCAAGTAACCATTTGGCTTTTAGAGTATTTACAAAAGTCAAGCTTTAACGCATCTAAAATGGCAGGCATGGAAACCCTCTAGCCACCTTTCTGTATTGGTGCATGTGCGCTGTAAAAGGTACATTTTCTTGAATACTATTCTCCATTTGGGTCCCCCAAAGATTGAATGGGTGCCATGCACTACCTGGAGTAAAACTCTGATTTGAGACCATTGTGATCTGCATCACATTAATAGTTAACTTTAATCTCTAGCTCTGTGTGCAGGGGGGAAAAAACCCACCTAGAAACTTTGAAAAATGGCTTGTGTGGGGTGGGGGGAAAGGCTTGTATCTCAGAACCCCTAGCCCAAAGGATCCCAATTCTTGGTCACTAAGCCAACTGTGAACCTTCCTGAGGCAGGCCAAATTTCAAATGAATCCAGCTAAGTGCCTCCGTTTTAGAGAACTTAGAAAAGTTGGCCTTATTATAATGGTGCTGGGCATTCAGCTGGTCAGCTTGCCTGAACATTCATGAAGGTAGTTTTGAAAAGAAGTGTTGTATAACCTGAAGGAGAACAATAAAAATATGCATTACATGTAGCACTCATTGACACTGGTAAATATCTTTGTATTAGAATGGCTGTTCAGTAAATCTACAGAACTGAACCTGGAAAGAATACAGCCAGTTTATTTGCTGCTGTTTTTATTTTAAATAGGTTTGCTGATTATGGCTGCATTCTGGAGATCAGAAATGTTGAATTCTTTGCTGACGGTCGCTCTGTAGTAGACAGCATTGGCAAGAGGAGGTTTAAGGTGGTAGAGCACAGCCAGCGTGATGGATACAACACAGCAGATATTGAGTACATTGAGGATCAGAAGGTGAGTTTACCGAAGATTATTTTCCAAGAGTTTTTATCTTTATAAAAGTAGTGTGTATCAGGATGGGATCTTGCCAGGCTTCCTAATAGGGTACTTCAGGTTTGCTTTATACCTGTAATCTGATTGGATCTGGCCCTACTCCCACTGAAATCAATTTCCAAATTGGATTGGGTCCATTATCCCCAATTTTTTTCAGTGCACTATTATTGAGAAAATATGTAACACACTCAAAATGTGTTAGGTGCTGTGCAAACCTCTACTGTATTTATAGGGAGACAGTGCCAGCCACAAAGTTTTCATACAAAAAAAAAACCGAATACAACTCATTTGGGGACCCATTTTCATTTAAAAATATAACTCTAGTAAGTGGTGGTTGGATTTAGCCTGACAAACATTTTGTTCTGAAAATGGATTTTTTTGTTTTAGAACCTAGGGGTGAAGAAAAAGGTTGAGAGAAACGTAGATTGAGATACTTTTCAGAAAAATAAACCAAAGAACAAACTTTCAGGATCTGCCCTAGAGTTTTCAAAAGAATTAAGAGTGGGTAGTGCCTTTTGAAAATGTAATTGGAATTAAGTCCAGCCTCACCCCCTCTCTCTGTGCTCTCTTCAGGTGCAAGGAGAGAGCTATGCTGAGTTACTTGTTCTACATGATTCTGTATATGATCAGGCTTATATGTGGTTTAACTCACTCAAACAAGCACTCAAGAGTCGAATTCTCAGTCATTTTGGTCCAATGCCAGCTAAGGATCCTGACCCACAGGTACTTGACTTTATATTTATCCAGGAATAGAGGTTGTCATTTTTATTGATTACAGGAAGTTTAGCAATCACACTGATAAACCAAGAAGAATTTTCTAATTCATTGAAGAAAACATTAATCCTCTTCATTGACCCTGTATAACCTGTTCAATATCTGAATTGTTGCCATAAGCTACTGCTGCAGTAACTCTGAGCAAGTCAGAATTCATATTTATTATTTCATTTTAACTTCCTGAGAAATACTGACCAAATTAATCCCTATTGATTTCAGTGAATGTGCACCATTTTGTAACGTAACTGAATTTGTCCCAAAGTTTAGGTGGAAAATAGCGATTGTACAAAAAGATGACAACTGCAGGACAAACTTGATGCTAGTGTTACAGGACTCAGTACTGCAAGGTGCTGGAGACCCTAAACTCCAAGTACTAACCGAGTATAACAGATGTTAGGGTGCTAAATCCCTAATAGATAGGGCCCTACCAAATTCATGGCGATGAAAAACGCATCACAGACCATGAAATCTGGCCTTCTCCCATGAAATCTGGTCTCTTATGTGCTTTGACCCTATACAGATTTCATAGGGGGAGACCAGCGTTTGCAAATTGGAGGCCCTGACCCAGAAGGGAGTTGCAGGGGGGTCACAGGGTTATTTTAGGGGGGTCGCGGATTGCTACCCTTACTTCAGCGCTGCCTTCAGAGCTGGGTGGCCAGAGAGCAGCAGCTGCTGGCCGGGCACCCAGCTCTGAAGGCAGTGTCCCACCAGCAGCAGTGCAGAAGTAAGGGTGGCAACACCGTACCATGCCACCCTTCTGCACAGCTGCCTTTAGAGGTAGGCAGCTGCCGACTGAGGGCCCAGCTCTGCAGGCAGCAGCGCAGGAGTAAAGGTGGCAACACCGTACCATGTTTCAGAGGAACAGCCGTGTTAGTCTGTATTCGCAAAAAGAAAAGGAGTACTTGTGGCACCTTAGAGACTAACCAATTTATTTGAGCATGAGCTTTCGTGAGCTACAGCTCACTTCATCAGATGTTTACCGTGGAAACTGCAGCAGACTTTATATACACACAGAAATCATGAAACAATACCTCCTCCCACCACACTGTCCTGCTGGTAATAGCTTATCTAAAGTGATCAACAGGTGGGCCATTTCCAGCACAAATCCAGGTTTTCTCACCCTCCACCCCCCCACACAAATTCACTCTCCTGCTGATGCTAGCCCATCCAAAGTGACAACTCTTTACATAATCAAGTCGGGCTATTTCCTGCATAGATCAAGGTTTTCTCACATCCCCCCCACCCCCATACACACACAAACTCACTCTCCTGCTGGTAATAGCTCATCTAAACTGACCACTCTCCAGGTTTAAATCCAAGTTAAACCAGAACATCGGGGGGGGGGTAGGAAAAAACAAGAGGAAACAGGCTACCTTGCATAATGACTTAGCCACTCCCAGTCTCTATTTAAGCCTAAATTAATAGTATCCAATTTGCAAATGAATTCCAATTCAGCAGTTTCTCGCTGGAGTCTGGATTTGAAGTTTTTTTGTTTTAAGATAGTGACCTTCATGTCTGTGATTGCGTGACCAGAGAGATTGAAGTCGGAGAACACTTCAATCTCTCTGGTCACGCAATCACAGACATGAAGGTCACTATCTTAAAACAAAAAAACTTCAAATCCAGACTCCAGCGAGAAACTGCTGAATTGGAATTCATTTGCAAATTGGATACTATTAATTTAGGCTTAAATAGAGACTGGGAGTGGCTAAGTCATTATGCAAGGTAGCCTGTTTCCTCTTGTTTTTTCCTACCCCCCCCCCCCGATGTTCTGGTTTAACTTGGATTTAAACCTGGAGAGTGGTCAGTTTAGATGAGCTATTACCAGCAGGAGAGTGAGTTTGTGTGTGTATGGGGGTGGGGGGGATGTGAGAGAACCTTGATCTATGCAGGAAATAGCCCGACTTGATTATGTAAAGAGTTGTCACTTTGGATGGGCTAGCACCAGCAGGAGAGTGAATTTGTGTGGGGGGGTGGAGGGTGAGAACCTGGATTTGTGCTGGAAATGGCCCACCTGTTGATCACTTTAGATAAGCTATTACCAGCAGGACAGTGGGGTGGGAGGAGGTATTGTTTCATGATTTCTGTGTGTATATAAAGTCTGCTGCAGTTTCCACAGTAAATATCTGATGAAGTGAGCTGTAGCTCACGAAAGCTCATGCTCAAATAAATTGGTTAGTCTCTAAGGTGCCACAAGTACTCCTTTTCTTTTTGCGAACACTGTACCATGCCCTCCTTACCATACCATACCAGCGCCACTGCCAACAGCAGCACAGAAGTAAGGGTAGCAGAGCCACAACCTCCCCTACAACCTTGCGACCCCCCCACAACTCCTTTTTTGGGTCAGGATCACTGCAATTACAACACCTTGAAATAGCTGAAATCATTAAATGTATTTTTTAAATTGACCAAAATGGACCATGAATTTGGCAGGGCCCTTACTTATAGGTTTGGGCCCACTAAGACGGAGTATGAAGATGATGCAGAAGACACAAACTACATATTACTAGAGGCAAAAATGGGTCTAATCCAAACACTCTAAATTATAGAAAAGTTTAGGATCTGGGTATAAACTGTGTACGTCTAACTAGAAGTTATTAAAATGGCATTTGGAGGGACCCTATAGAAAGCATTTGTTACTAAGCCAGTAAAAACGTGTTCCATACCAAGATATTTTTTGTCACTGACAGCATCTTGGCTTCTGTATCATAATGTACATGTTCTCTATTGCAGGCTAGCCCCAATGGCCCTGCGTGGTGCTGGTGGGTCCTTGCTGTCCTTCCACTTGAGAGTAGAGCTCAGCTTCCGTTTCTTGCCATGAAATCCCTGAAAGACCGCTTGAATGGCATCAGACGTGTCCTTACGTTTATGTCCCATACACGGTCACGATGATGCGGAGAACCAGCTGTGAAGCCTCTTGCAATACTGGACTGGAGTTTCTCTTGTAACTATATCTGACTGCAATACTGTCTTATGGATTTGTGTGTCAAAACAGGACAAGTTTTGAAGTCTAACTTTCAAAGGAAATAAAATATGAAGAGCCAAGGATATTTACAGATCATCCAGTAGTATCCATTTGATCTCTGAACTTTCTTGAGACGAGTATTCAATTGTTGCACTGCTAGGCTATTATCTGTTATATAACAGAACAAAGTGGTCTTGTTTGCCATAAACCTTTTGAAAGTTTGAGGTGAGTTTCCTGTAGTACTAAAGGAAATCTGTGCGGTTTAATGTGAAAAAGAAATACTGATAGTGTTAAAGCATTATTTCAATGAACTGCAAAGTCTTTTATTCCAAATGGTTCAGGTTTATATAGCATTGTGTATTATAATGTCCACAACTTCTGTTTGATCATTTATTTTTGCACTATGTCTTTTTTGGTTTCCAAATGTATATTTGTAATTATTTGTGTACATTCTCTACACAGAAAGTAAGCTGCTCTATTTATTTATGGTGTCTTACCATGTATGAATGACTAGGGGAAAAGATATTAAGAATACACAAGCTACTACTTCGGTCATTTTTTCAATACATTTGTGTTTTGAGTACTTTGAATGTTTTTCTACTATCTCCAGTGATCTATATTCTAAGAAGGATTGCCCCCAACACAGCCAGCCATGAATATGCAGGCTTTGTCTGAAAGAGTTCATTGTTGCTGGGTAGAGTTTGATCCTACAATCTTAACTGGTCCCCAATCAAGCAAAGCACTTCAGCATATGCTTAAGTGTATTTGGGGCTTTGGGTAATAAACTTCAGTGGGCTTTGCCCAGAGAGATGACTGAAGGATCCAGCCATTAATTTTGCACAATATAAAGAGTAGCACTATGCAGCAGTTTGCAGTGAAATGTTGTATTTGAATTGCTATGAGAGTATTGCAGCTACCTACAAACACAATGCAGGAGCTGATAGGTGTAAAGCAACCTTTCACAAAAGAGAACTAGAGAGGGGTATTTCACTTCAGGTTGATATAAAGAATCTCTAATAACCCTTTTACATGTTAAGATCTTATGTTTGTAGTTAATATTATTTTTTGCTATGTAGGGCTCCAGGAGGGCTCACAAGAAGGAAGGTATTTTAATAAACTTTCTATTTATTCCACCTCCACCTCCAGATTTTTCCATTAGCCACAAGTCTCTACCTGATCTTTGTGTCTCCTGTCAGACTGAGCAGCTTGATAGCTAATGGTTAAAACCCCAAAGGCAATTGAAAACTGGGTTTCACTTTTTCTGCATCTTTTGCACTGTGTAAGATTTTGGGCCTGATCTTGCTTCCATTAAAGTCAGTTGGAGTTCTGCTATGGACTTAAGTGGGAGCAAGTTTGGGTCTTTGTATCTAAGCTATGGATCTCTCTTCAGAGAGCAAGTAGGATGGATGAAAATTCATGATATTGCCCAGAATAGTGTTTATTAGTGCATACCCTTCTGGAAAAGTCCTGTAGAATTTAATAGACTATTGTCTTCTTTCCATAGGCTTTTAAAATCATTTTAGTTTGAGATAATTTATTTTATTTCAGTTTTATAGTTTTGAGTAATTTATGAACCCTGTTAAGTTTCTGTAGAATGTAGTTTTTCATCCTTATTAAATTCTACGGCACTCTTCTTTAAGTGCCGTAGGAACAAATTGTCTCACGTTTCAGTATTCCATCTAGTGAGGCAGATTGAAAGTATATTTTGTTGTTGCTTTAGCTACCTTGTAAATACTACAGGAAACTCATTTCCATGCTGTTAGTTTGCTACACTTTTCTGTGGATGGTACTGTGCCTGTTTGTGAGAATAATATATGTACAGGGCTTCTGTTTTGGGGGTTTATTAATTTCATTTTTTGGCATTTGTTTTGAGTTCTATGTAGATATCCAAAAATGGGGCTTTTCTCTTTGTATATACACTTAGTACGGTTTCAAACAGCATTACATTAGCAGGCACTAGGGAACCTTTTAGTGTGAATCAACTGGGTCTATGCAGACCAATTAGTGTGCAATATACTAGTGAACTTCAGAAATCACACATCCCTAGTTCACATTAATGCTCTGTGTTGGCAAATCCTTACAAGCCAATGAGCAGGGACATCGCCTATATAAACAAACTGCACTATGAAACAGGTGAAGTCAACATGAATTGAGTAACCATTTCCAATTTCTTTTTTAATTGCGATGTTTTATCCATGTCTATTAAAAACCAAAAATCGGAAGCCTTACATATGTATTATGTACACCTGTTTTAAACTGTAAAATGCACAGTGGCTGCTGTCTGCAATGGCATCTGTGTCTTCATAATGAAGAAAACAGATGAGTCACTTCCAGAGTGACTTCTCATCTCAGTTGCAGGTGATGTCACAGTAAATGTAGTTCTGACCGAAGCCATTTCTGTATTAGTAATGTATAACTTGAGACCAGTCCTGCTTCCATACAAGTCAGTAGGTGTTTTTGGTCCTCACATCCGTGGCAGCAGGATTCAGTCTTTAAGTATGTTGTATTTTGGGGCTGTTTTCTCGCTGATTTTTTTTTTTTTTGCTCTTTTCTGCATGCTAGAACTTCTGTTACACATTCATGTTACTGGTTCACAGGTAACTATGGAGAGTCCTTTACACTTGACAATGCCTATTTTTAAAATAGGCCAGCCCTTTCCATCACCCTCAGTGAGTTGAGACCACCACGTTTCAACTCTTTTGGAGTGAATTACAGAACATCTACCAGTTTCTACATACACCACTGTGTAGTGTTTATTTTTGAGATACAGTAAATTTGGCATCTTTTCTGAAATGTGAGACAATAGCTTTAACAGTCACTTAAATTTTATATACTATGTTGATCTGATAGTATACTTATTATTCTTACCATCAAGTTGTGCCCAGAACTAGGTGTACTAACCTACTATAGAATAAAAACAAACTCAAAAGTATTGATCAAGTTTTGACTGCACACCAAATACAAGCTTGGGTTCATAGTTCTTTAATAGCATAGGGTAAAATTTGCCCCTATGTAGCAAACCCATTTAAATCCCATTTAACCCCTGTTTTGGGGTTTAAACAACATGTATGCTTTTTGCTGGTCGTTCACACAGGTTAAACTTTCACTGGAGCTCAATTCAGCAGACTTGAAGTCACCAGCAAAAGTTTGATTTCAGGGGGGAGTTTGGTCCCCAGTGACAATCAAATGAGAGAAAAAAGCTCAAACCATAGCTGAATGAAAGCCATCTGCCATACAAATATTGTAGGGCAAGCCAAAAAGCAGCCCGAGCATGGGTTTCCTGAAAGTTTTAGTCATTTACATTTGTTTGATATGATGACTTTGTTCATTTGCGACCTTCACCATTTGAGATGTGATTAGTTCAAATGCATGAAAATAACTTAATATCGGTCATGTCATTATGCCACATTCCTAGGTAGGTGGAGGGACATAAGTCAAATTTCTTCAGTAAATTTGTTTTCATGACACTAAGTACAAGGCAGACTCAAGCTAAATGACTCCTTCCTGCTTAGTGCACTACTTCATCTAACAACAAAAAACGATGATGGGAAAACATGAATGGGGGGGGGGGGGAAATACAGTATTTCTCTTGGCCAGCTCAACTTGGCCAAAAAACTAAAAATGGGTGAGAACGGAACAGAGTAGATAGAGCCTGATTCTGATCTCATTGACATGTGTAAATCGGAAGCAACTGCACTTAAGGCAATGGAATTACACCAGTATAAAACTGATGCGAGAACAGACTCAAGCAAAAGGTTCAGCAGACCCTGCTGGAAGTCAGACCTGGTTAGCCTCATGGTGGTAGCACTGGAGTTCCCTTTTCTTGAGTGCTATTTTTTTTATTAGCTGTTAAGCTGACAGCTGGGATTTCTCATTGCAAAGTGGCTGGTCCGTGCTTGGGCTACCCCTCTGTCCTATATGAGTATTTATTAGCCTTTAGAGCGTGTATGAACCACTAATTTGTTAATCCAATAATTTTAATCTTGGTAAAAATGGAGTTTGACAGATTTGTATTTACTGGGTCTGAATCTGTTATAGATAGTGAGGTATAGAGGTTAGAGAGCATTTATAAACTGAAGTTTTATATTTTGGATATGGTCACTCAATCATTTCTTTGATACTGGAATTTTACCAGTGTTTAAACTAGTTAATGAGGGCCACAGGTACATTTTCAATGCCTTGTTTTTTGGGGGGTAGTGGAGAGAGTGATTCATGTAGCTTTTGTGAAAATAGGCAAAACATCTATCTAAGTAACCTGAGTCTAGTTTGTGCAAAATTCAGTAGGAATTATATGCATTTAGGGTCTGAGACAATTGTGTCAATAGACTCGCATTGACTTCATTAGGGGGTTGGATCAAGCCCACAAAGACTGCAGGCTCAAGAAGAATGCAGAAAAGTACCTTTGTAAATGAAATCCTCTGCCAAGATTTGCAGGATAAATATTGCCAATATACGAGAAACCAGATTGTTTAATACAGGATTTAATTCTTAAATGGCTGATGCACAAAAGCTGAACTATTACACTGAGGTCTTGTCTACATGGCAGTGCAGTGGTAACTACAGCGGTGTGAACTGTAGAGTATGCTCTCATGGTCCTATGTAGACCCTCCTGGTGTGAACTAGAAAGTACCTAGTTAGCGCTGCTGTAGCCCTATTTGAAACAGGGCAAGTACTACTTAGTTCACACTAGCAGGGTATACAGGGGTCAGAGCACAAGTTAGCATATTCTGCTGTTCACACCCCTGTCATTAGTACTGCCCTGCAGTGTAGACATGCCCAGAGTTATACATGCACGTATCATGTACAGAAGTGCTTACTAATATCTGAGGAGTTTTCATAGGGTCTAAATTAACCCTCAAATAGAAGTGCCTGTATTTCTGTGTTGCTGGTTGCCATTCTTAATCTTCAATCATAGCCTACCCCCCCACCCCTTTTTAATTCTTGACAGCAGATTGGAGGAACACAAGTTTACAGAGCAGTACTGTGGCAGAAACAATGTAATCGTTTTACATATATCTACTGGAAGAAAAAAAGCCGGTGGAAAAATCATTTAAGATATCTTCATGTGATGCTGTAGACTTGTCCTATTTAATACCATCAAGCTATGTGGTTATTAGAGAGCCAGAAATAAAATATCTATCAAGTCATTTTAAATAGTGACAAATTTCTTTGGGGGCTTGTGTATTCTACTTGTGTGTAAAGCATCCTTTTATTTTTCTTGCACTAATGAACTTGAAGTGAAATTAAATTCAATTAGTCATTGAACAGCAGTACTATTCCACTACCTCTACGTAAGTTTGACATCTTTTTTTTCCCATTCATGTTATGTTCAAGATATTAATTTCATAGTTCTGTCAGCCTATGTATCCAGTAGTACTAATTATGTTGTATGGACATAAGTCTGTATGGATACTTGTTTGCTAATTAAAATTTGTGTTCTTTACTCTCTGATCTGTATCTGATAACAAGAAATTACAAAGATAGAAAGAATGCCCTAAATCACTATGGCACTTGTCATTTAAGGCCTGCTCCCCACTGCAGTTAATGGAAAGATTCTTATTGCCTGCAATGGATGCTCAGTCAGGCACAACTCAAGAAAAGCACTTAAGTATGTGCTGAAATCCATCCCCTATTCAGGACAACAGATGCTTAAGTTCCATTGATTTCATAAGGATTGAACAGGGCTGCTTTTTTGACTTGGGGTCTTATAACAAGAGTCTCTAGAAAATATCCTGACACCTACTTTCCTCTAACAAGTAGCTACTGCATTTGTACAACTACTAGTTAAATTTTCTCCCTCCTCCACCCCCAAAGGACAACTGCACCACCTGGACCAAATTCTGCTGTAAGATAGGTGAATGGAATTGCTGTTGATTTCAGTGGGACCTGTCTATTTGAGCATAGAGTAAGGCTAACTTATGAATGCATATAGGGGATCAGATTTTAATACACAGGCAATAGGCTTTCCTCATGCAACGGAGATAAGTCACAAAATTTGCAGGCCCAGTAAATTAGGTCCCCTAAAAACTTGGCTTAATGGATATATTCAGTAAGCTGTATTGCCTCAAAGGAGTTTAACTTGCTATTCATTCAATGTTTTAATAAGAATCCTCAAAACATTTAAACAGTGAGCAAGTAAAACTGCTGCTGTCTTATTAATTGATAAATAGTAATAATTAATACTCAACCCTCTGTTCAAACAACTGTGCACACATGAATTGTCTGTAATAAGTGTGCTTAGTATTTATTATTCCTAGTTTGTACATAAGAAAAGTAAGTCAAAGGAGCCTAAGGCCTTGTTGAAGATCACACAAGCCTGTGGATGTGGGCAAGTTCAGGAAACTGACATAAAGGGGGAGTAACTTGCTTAAACCCTATGGTCTGTTGCAGGGATCTTGAGCACCCTTAGGTCCCTACCATTCTCTTGTGCGCCACAGGCAGTCTAGTGTCAGGAGGGCTGTAAGACTTGGGTCTAATTGTGGTGTGAGAGTGGTTGGTGGCCTGTGATACATAGCAGGTCAGACTAGGTGATCTGGTGGCCCTTAAATTCTATGAATCGATGACCTTAGGCAAATCCCATCATTTCTCTGGCTCAGTTTTGAATCTATAAAACAAGAATAATTGGAACTCCTGGCTCCTACTATTGTGCTCATTCCACTGGATCATTGTGCCTCTCCTACTGTACAGTCTGCTTCATGAGGAATCATTTCTTAAATTTATTTTAAAAGGATAAGTCATCAGACTGCTTTCAATTTCCTTACTAGTGTTGATGTATGTCTCACTGCCTCCTGGCTTAATGTGATGGGATAAAAGAACAGGACATAGAGGTTAACTGCTCCCCTCTTATCAAGAGTTCCAGGGGCTGTTGAAGGGCTTGCAATAAAGCCCTTGATTTTACGGGTCAGCTGAAAAATAGCACTTCCAAATGCTAGGCTTGGACAGTGGCCCTGCCTCCATTTGCAACTCCAGTGAGACTTTAGTGGTGTGACAAGCTATACAAGCATTGCTAAGTAGAAGAAGTCAGACCCTTCAGCTCTCTATCAAGTCAACCATCCCTCGGGTAAGTTGCAGTGCTGTGTTTGATCCAAAAGTTCCAACTTCTGAGCCATCAACACCATTTCCGACAGCAGTCCTGACGCTTTGCTTGTAGGTCTAAACAAGTATTGTCTGAGCCTAACTCTACTCCTTTTATTATATTGGATAAGGCCACATCCTATAAGGGCATGACTGCATAGGATGAGCCAGATAGTTCACAATTCTAGTTTTCCTTTCTGGGTTAGGGATGCTGGAACCAGGGCTGCAGAGTATGTGACCGCACCCCCAGCTTGAAGTGGTTTCCATAATGTAGAGGGTTTTATTTTGTTCAATGACTTTCACCACGCACACCCAACCCACCCCATAAAAAGTTCCAACACCCCTGCTGATAGGTACATTAGGCAGGATTTGGTGCTCCTTTTTATACTAGTGCAGCAGTTCTCAAATTCTGGGTGGGGGGCCCCCAAAGTGGATAGCAACCCCTTTTTAATGGGGTCACCAGTGCTGGCTTAGACTTGGTAGGGCCTGGGGCCAAAGCCTGAGGGTTTCAGCCTGGGATGGCAGGGCTCAGGTTACAGGCGCCCTACTTGAGGCTGAAGCCCTTGGGCTTCTGCTTTGTTCCCCCAACCCAGTGGGGCTTCGGCAGGCTCAGACTTAAGTCACCCCTCCTGGGGGTGTCATGTAGTAATTTTTGTTGTCAGAAGGGGATCACAGTGCAATGAAGTTTGAGAACCCCTGCACTAGTCTCTCTCCATTATCATGATTGTGGTCTGTCTTGATTGATATCAACATAAGTGAGCTCACAATCCAGCCTAATATTTTAAGCTTCATGTTTCTCAATGAACACCATGTGTGCAAGCCAACATAAGTGAAATTACTTAGTCAAGCTACAGCATGTCCTGCAGTAGTGCCTGATCCCCAAACTCCAAGTGATTTCAATGCAATTTGAACGACGACCATATGGCATGACCACATCCTATGACTGCTTCTGGCAGTTAGCTACCACTACTTTGAGAGCCCCTAGTTTGCAGCTGTGATATGCCAGCAACTACTGGAGCCATGGATTCAAAATGCTGCAGTATTTTGTATTGCTGAGTTAGAGGAATTTTGGGATCAACATTTACAGCTTGCATGTGAAATTTGGAGCAACTGCCCTACAGGTTGCATTTCTCCACTATATAGGCTATTTGGACTCTTCAGTCACAGACGGATTACTTCTCATATGATGCTAATCACAGTTAATATGGGTACATAGGGTGCCAGTATAATACCTCTTAACGTCCCTGGAGCTACTTCTGATTTACATAACTGTAAACAAAAGGAGAGCTTGAGGCCTTTCGTATGTATGTATTTTAAGGGTGACCTGAAAAGGAAAATAAAGTTGAGCTTGTGCTTTTTTTTTTTTTTTTTTTTTGTGAGCAGGAGTTGTGGTTTGGTTTTTGTAAGACACAAAGAAGGCCTGGAAAGTTTTGTAAAAATAAAACAGAAATGAGAGTATTAAATAATCTTTCTCAGTGTGATTTCTATATTAGAAATTCAATTCTTGTCTCCCCTGAGAGATTTTTATGGTGAGTGGCAAACTTATGAAATTTACATAATTATGAAGCAATTTTTGCAGGTCTGCGGAATGTAAATTGTGAATATTCATAATGAACTCTGTTGGTTAGTTAAGCAAGTCACATGCTATTCTTTCTCTCGACTGAGAGAGTAAGTACCATTAACTGGGCCTGTTACCACTGATTATTTGTTGAAATTTTAATACGAATTTGAAATTCATGTTGCAGGAATATTGTAGCTTCAATGGGGTTTCCATGAGTATTTGCACCAGTAAAAAACTCAGGTTCTTGAATTCGCTTTCTGCAAACATTCTGAATGTAGTTGAATGGAAATTTCCTTTAAAATTCAAGTGACTAGTCACTGAAATTTTCCTCACAATTCCTGTACTCGCTCTCTCACCCTCTATCGTGAATTTTGACTGTAGAAAAAATTCAGGGTCAGTAGAGTAAATGTTTCTGTCGCAACTGAGCAGACACACCCTTCATAACCCATAAAATCACTTTATAGATCGGCAAAACATGGACAGAGAAGTGCATGATGGGAAGTTGATGTCCAATTATGTAACAAGGGTAACTAAAGGTCAAAGAGAGCAATTGAATAACAAGCTTTTTGCCAGGAACAATAGTGCAAATAAACACACAGTGTTTCCAAAGACCAGCTGCTGCACAGTAGCAATAGGTTATATGGCCAGTTAGGAGCTACTAAACTGAAAAAGAACCGGGGGCGCATGGAGGGGGTGTGTGTGTGTGTGTGTGTGTGTGTCAAAGCTTTGAATAATGGGACTTCAACACCCTGAAACAACACACACACACGCTGATTCCACAAGCAAGTACTAGGGATCATTTTACATTGATGGAGGAATGGCTTCACCCAAAGCATGGCTGTTAAGCTTATCTTCCTAGCCCATTGCTATGACTGTGTCACTTGCCCCTCCACTGGCTCACCCTTTGCCTTCCCCTCAAATACAGCTTTTTGTCCTTATTTTTAAGGTTCGTCATCACACGGCTCTCCCTTACTTATGCACTTAGGGCCGGCTCTACGTTTTTTGCTGCCCCAAGCAGCAAAAAAAAAAACAAAAAAAAAACCTGCTGAATACGCCACCACCAGAGAGAACAGGAACTTTGGAGTGTTGCTCTTTTAAGACATCTGAAAGCATTCTCCACACCTCATCACTCTCACATTTTGGAAGGCTCTTCAGATTCTTAAACCTTGGGTCGAGTGCTGTATCTATCCTTAGAAATCTCACATTGGTACCTTCTTTGCATTTTGTCAAATCTGCTGTGAAAGTGTTCTTAAAACGAACATGTGCTGGGTCATCATCTGAGACTGCTATAACATGAAATATATGGCAGAATGCGGGTAAAACAGAGCAGGAGACATACAGTTCTTCCCCAAGGAGTTCAGTCACAAATTTAATCAACACATTTTTTTAACCAGCATCATCAGCATGGAAGCACATCCTTTGGAATGGTGGCCGAAGCATGAAGGAGCATATGAATGTTTAGCATATCTGGCACATAAATACCTTGCAACACCGGCTACAAAAGTGCCATGCGAACACCTATTCTCACTTTCAGGTGACATTGTAAATAAGAAGCAGTCAGCAGTATCTCCCATAAATGTAAACAAACTTGTTTGTCTTAGCAATTGGCTGACCAAGAAGTAGGACTGAGTGGACTTGTAGGCGCTAAAGTTTTACTTTGTTTTATTTTTGAGTGCAGTTATGTAACAAAAAATCTACATTTGTAAGTTACACTTTCATGATAAAGAGATTGCACTACAGTACTTGTATGAGGTGAATTATTTATCATTTTTACAGTGCAAATATTTGTAAAAATAAAGTAAGCACTG